TAACCCTACGACCCAGGTTCCTTCTCACAGCCCTACTATCCAGGCTTTCATATCGAAGTAACCCTACTATCCAGGTTCCTTCTCATAACCCTACTATCCAGGTTCCTTCTCATAACCCTACTATCCAGGTTCCTTCTCACAGTCCTACTATCCAGGCTTTCATATCGAAGTAACCCTACTATCTAGGTTCCTTCTCACAGCCCTACTATCCAGGCTTTCATATCGAAGTAACCCTACTATCCAGGTTCCTTCTCACAGCCCTACTATCCAGGCTTTCATATCGAAGTAACCCTACTATCAAGGTTCCTTCTCACAGCCCTACTATCCAGGCTTTCATATCAAAGTAAACCTACTATCTAGGTTCCATCCCATACTCCTACGCAGACTTATCCCGAAATAACCTTACCCAGGTTCCTCCAGAAGTTTTACACAAACTTATCACAAAGTAACCTTACCCAGGTTCCTCCTGAAGTTTTACACGAACTTATCTCAAAGTAACCTTACCCAGGTTCCTTTTGAGGTTTTACACAGACTTAGCCCGAAGTAACCTTATCCAGGTTCATTATGAAATTTTGCTCAGACTTATCCCGAAGCAACCTTACCTAGGTTCCTTCTCGGTTCAGATGCAGTTTTACCCAAACTCCTCACGAAGCAACCTTACCTAGGTTCCATCTCGATTCCGATGTAGTTTTACCCAAACTCCTCATGAAGCAACCTTACCTAGGTTCCTTCTCGGTTCAGATGCAGTTTTACCCAAACTCCCCACGAAGTAACCCTATGACCCAGGTTCCTTCTCATAGGCCTACTATCCAGGCTTTCACCTCGGAGTAACCCTACAACCCAGGTTCCTTCCCATAAGCCCTACTATCAAGGCTTTCATTTCGAAGTAACCCTACTATCCAGGTTCCTTCCCATAAACCCTACTATCCAGGCTTTCATTTCGAAGCAAGCTTACCTAGGTTCCTTCTCGGTTTAGATGCAGTTTTACCTAAACTCCCCATTAAGTAACCCTACGACCCAGGTTCCTTCTCATAGCCCTATTATCCAGGATTTCACCTCGAAGTAACCCTACGACCTAGGTTCCTTCCCATAAGCCCTACTATTCAGGCTTTCATTTCGAAGTAACCCTACTATCCAGGTTCCTTCCCATAAGCCCTACTATCCAGGCTTTCATTTTGAAGTAACCCTACTATCCAGGTTCCTTCTCATAGCCCTACTATCCAGGCTTTCATCTCGAAGTAACCCTGCTATCCAGGTTCCTTCTCATGGCCCTACTATCCAGGATGTCATCTCGAAGTAACCCTACTATCCAGGTTCCTACCCATAGCCCTACTATCTATGCTTTCATCCCGAAGTAACCCTACTATCCAGGTTCCTTCTTATAGCCCTACTATCCAGGCTTTCATCCCGAAGTAACCCTACTATCCAGGTTCATTCTCATAGCCCTACTATCCAAGCTTTCATCCCAAAGAAACCCTACTATCCAGGTTCCTTCTCATAGCCCTACTATCCAGGCTTTCATTTCGAAGCAACCCTACTATCCAGGTTCCTTCTCTCTTATCTCCAAACAACAGTTTACAACACTGTAAGACCTGGACCCGACCAGTTACGGTCGATTTCACATTTCCCCAGTAATTCGCTGTGCAGCCAAAAATTCACAGGACCACCGTAACACCTTAGATCACCCACATAATGTCCAGACGAACACAAACATTGTATGGGCCTGAGCCCTCACTATTTACACTCTCTAAATAGCTTCTCTAACATAATTGACACCCCTGCGTAATTGGATCCCAAACAAAACTTTGGGCTTAAGCCCTTACTTTCAGCACCCCTCAGTTTTTACAACTGAACTAATAATACACCACCTGTTTTAAATTAAATATGTTATTTAAATTAATTAATTTTATTTATTTTAGTTAATTAATTAATTAATTCTATTTATTTATTTAATTTATACAATTACTAATTTGCTTCTCATATCATTTTTTTATTATGTTGTGCATTAAAATAATTTTTGCATCTTGTCATTAAATAATTATGTTGATAAATGAATAATTAATTATTATTAAAAATATTCAATATATTTCTAATAATAAGAAAATAATTATTTATTAACTATTGTTAAAATACTAACCTTTTTATCAATTCAACAAATATTTTTATCACTCAAACTTACTTTTCTTTCAAATTGTATCATACATTCTAAGACAATTAACCAATCAAACTTAACACTTTGTTTTACTAATATAATTTTAAATTCTACTTTATTTAAAAAAAAAGATTGTGGATATATTTTCTATTTAATTGCAAACTTCGTTTACGGCTAAGCTATTTTCAAACCCAGACAAAGTTCAAGGATAATTCTAAAATATTTTAATAATCCATAAAAAAAACTAACCAAATACATACGAACTACGAATTTAGACTCTGATTCTTCGCAAGAAAGTACGTAGGCACGCGGTTAAAACCAAAACGAGTCCCTCAACTAAAAAACTAAATATTATCCTATACAATTAATGATAACATGCTTACTAAATGGAAAGTCCCGATTTATCCTTAGACCTAAAAGTGGAGCCTCTTGAGAACAAGGAAGATGAAGGATGCCTAACATTTTCCCTTCGTCTAATTAACTCATGAATTTAGAATTTTTATACAAATTAGGATTATCCGTTATTTCTCTGTTGTTAGGATAAAAATTAATGGTGACAACTGTTATCTTTTGCTGGTTACGACACCTGGTCTAGAAACCTAGGGATACATGTCAAAGAAATCATGCAAAATGTCTCAATGATGATACTCACATTTAATGCATTTGTTCCATAGGTTATCCACGCCTGTCCGTTAAGCCTCTTTCACTTCTCTCAGCAACGACTCCAATGCCGAAAACCCGTACCAGTTCTCTAAAAGGTTTCCCTCTACAACAAGGCAAAAAACATTGGGGACAATTGTTCCAGGTCTACCAAAGACTCAATAAGAAAAGACTTACATCTGATCGAAATTTGTAATGCTTCAACCAAATCTCATATAAAAAGAACTGGAGATGAAGGAAAAGGTACGAATAAAATCCATTTTCTCTCACATCATTTCTAATTCTCTCATTAATTTATACTTTAGAGTGTTAACTTTATAAGTCAATTCTGTCTCCACTACATTGATAGCTCAAATCTACTGCAACGACACTACATAATTAATCGAACAACTCTAATTCCACTTCAAAACAAATTTTCAAACTTCTAAAACTCACGATTGTGCATATGTCAATTATCTCTCAAGAAATATATCTAAAATAAACCGAAACGTTTTTTATAATAAATGAACTTAAATTTATTTTACCACAATGTCTGTCACAACATTTACAATGACCAATTGACCACAATGACAATTGCAACAACATTAATTCCAATTAAATATCATGATATAGTAACAATTTTATGTTTCACATCATTTATACATCATTTATAAGGGAATCTGAATCTTACCACTCTGTCTTTAGATTGCAGCATGGAATGCTGATGTATCCTTCATTCTCAATATAAAATACTTGAATAATTCTAGAGTCTAGGACTGAAAGTGGTAAATACATATAACTACATGCAAAAGGTATGTAAGTTTATGGCACATAACATATAGTAATGAATAATTTTACATAAAAAGCAAAAAAGGTGTTATTATATGATAGTGTTTATTGATTAAATAAAGAATATAAAACCATTACTTTATTTCTGGAGCAGAATCAAAGGAAATAAAGGTCCATTCGATTGTGACACTTCCACCGAAGACCTCCCCACCATGACTCCATGACTCACCACCTTTTTACTTTTGAATTCCATGCATATATTATTGCTTTAGTATTAAAACTTCATGGTTTCATAGTTTTAGAATTCAACTATAGTTTAAAATTTGTCCTATTTTTTATTGCTGGTCCAAGTTTGTCCTTAAATATAGTTTGTTTATTTCCATCAAGATTTTAAAAAATGATTACGGTCGCAGTAGCATAAAAGTTTTTGAGATTTTTGTTCATACAAATATTGAATTAATCATAATTTATTCTTCAACACAAAAAATCGTAATAATATATCAATATCAAAATCTTCCATGATCATTTTATCGTGACAGTTTTCGCGATCACAGATTATTTTTTAAAACTCTGATTCACAGCACGAGGGTTACATGGTTCAAGATAATTTAGGTCTAAACATAAATATTTTAAAAAAAATATTTATAAATATTTAATATATCAAAATTGTTATAAATGTTTTATTAGTTGAACTCATAAAAAACATTTATTATACACTTATGCTACGTCACGAATTCAACCCATATTAATCCATATTTTAAAAAGGAGAAAATTTATATACAATTTTTTATATGTGATTTTTGCTATTTTTTATTAAAAATACGATGAGTGTATGATTTTTTTCTATATAATTACAATGTCTTCCTATATAATTATTGTTAGAGCACACTATACGACGTAATATATATATATATATATATATATATATATATATATATATATATATATATATATATATATATATATATATATATATATATATATATATATATATATATATATATATATATATATATATATATATATATATATATATATATATATATATATAGGGTTAGGGTTTCCTCTCTTAACATATGCATGATGATTTAAGACGATAAAGTTTAATTTAGAGATAATGCCATAGTAAAATAATAACATAAAGATACTTACATTATAAGAAACACGTTTGGTGCTCATCAATAATCACACAAATTTAATTTTAATAAAATACAAAAAGAGAGGGAGAGAGAAAATAAAACAAGAACAAAAATAAATATAAACACTACACCCCCCCACAAAACTCCTTTATCTTTTTTCTTTCCATCTCTGTGATCTCTTTTTCTTCCTGCAACTCTCTCATTTTGATGTGATTCTCCACCCACACACACTAACATATCCAAAGAAAAAACTCATCAAACTTTTTTTAAAAGATACAACCATGGTCTTCCCCTCTCTTCCAATCTATCTAGATCCAACCAACTGGTCACAACAGGTATTACTTCTTTCATTCTCTCTAGCTTCCATTTTTCTTTATTCTTAATTTCATTTTTTATTTTTATCACTTTTTTCTATTTTTAGCTTCTTCATCAATAAAGCTAAGATATAATTGATCAGAAATCAGATATTCTAACACACTTTTTTTTTTCTTGAATATACTATTGTACATGTGTGTAAAATATTATATAGTTTATTATTATTAATTATTTTTTCTTATACTTTTGTGAAAAAAATATAACTAGCAAGCAGGAATTGACATTGGAACTCAAAATCCGTCCTCTATACAGCAGTCCTCAGCTTCAACTGTAGCAGCTGTGACTGTGACAGTTGAAGCTGATGACAGCTATCAAAGGTCTATAAGACCAAGATCAATGACGGATCAAGCTAGGATGTTCAAGATAAACCAAAACGATGCCGCCGCTGGTGCAGTACAAAAATGTCCAAGATGTGAATCAACAAACACAAAGTTCTGTTATTACAACAACTATAGTTTATCGCAGCCACGCCATTTTTGCAAAGCTTGTCGTCGTTATTGGACTAGAGGTGGTGCACTTAGAAATGTTCCTGTTGGAGGTGGTTGTAGAAGGAATAATAAAAGAACCAGAGGAAGTTCAGTATCAAAACCGCCGTCTAAACCTAATCGAAGTAATGATCATCGTCACGTCGGTACAGGTGCTATTGCAGGGGTTGGTTCTAGCTCAGAAAATTCAAAATCTAATGGATGCAATACTTCTAATGTGAATATGGGAATGTCTCATTTTCCAACTCAATTCCCATTTTTTCCCTCTTTGCATCATTATAACAACAATGACTATGTTTCTCAAGGCATTAGTTCTATGGTCGCAAAAAATATTACCAATAGTACTAATAATAATGATACTACTAATGTTGAGTTTCAACTTGGTAGAGATTCTTCAGTTGGTAATAATGATAATGGAGGTTCTTTGATGTTATCAAATGGAATTGGTGAACAATGGCGGTTTCTGAATCCGCTACAAGTTCATCATCAACAACAACAACAACAACAATTTCCTTTCATGACAAATGTGGAACCACAAATTGGACTATTCCAATTTGGTGGAGAAAATAATGGTGAAACTCCAAGAAGTTATATAAGTTCTAAGGCAATGGAATCTTCAAGTGCTAGTAATGGAATGGTGAAAATGGAAGAAAACAATCATCAAAGTTTGAGTTTGTCAAAGAATCTCTTGAGTGGTTCAGGAAATAGTAATGATCTATTTTGGAATGAAGTTCCTAGTTTCACTCCTTCATCAAGTCAGTTATTATGATCCTATGAAAAATCTAGTGCTTTTGGTTCCTTAATAAAGAGTCACATAATTTTATGATCAATCAAATATAAAATGATCCAAGGCATAATCAAAGTGTTAGAACCGTTAATTCACTTGCTAACCATAGAATATTATGAAATTCCACAAAAAATTATGTGTTATGAGAAAGAATAATTTGAAATTCGGCCGAGAGGTAAGTAAAGTCTCATTTGTTAGAATTCAAACTCAGATTCTTCTGGAACGATTTTGAATTTTATTACTTGGTTTTTATCTAGACATCTACCAAGTTTAATGGTTTTGTTATTTAAGTATAGCAAATAGGAGATTGATGTTTGAAAGAAGTATTGATGTATTTATATTTATATGGTTTTTCAATGGTAATTTTTTTGCATTGTGTGAGAATTTAAATATTATGGAGATCACTCCCATTTTTGGTGGGTTAGTAAAGTGGAATGAAATGTACCTTGATAATTCAATTTCATGAAAAATGTACATATGAATCCCCATGCATTATTTTTGCCACGTTTAATCAAGCTTTTGTTTTTTTAAATCATCTTAATAGAAACTTCAAATTCCTAGACTTCTTTTGGTCTCACATTTTGAGAAGCTTTTTTCATTTTTTAAATCGTCGTATACTTACTTTTAACCCTTCGGAAAAAAAGGGAGAAAAAGCATGTTGAATACATCCAAATTGGGACCATGATGAAGGTGTGTGTGTGAGAGGGGGAAATCACATGAATTTAGTAGCATTAGTAGTAATAGAGTACAATTATGGCCAAAATGGTTATATATAGTTATAATGAAATTGACCAAATGAATTGTACTTCTTTGTTGTACATGAGGATGAGGATGTGTTTCATTTTCAAGTGTTTGAATAAACAACTATTAAATATTAAAATTTAAAAATTGAGTTATAAACACGGATTTCGACATGGAATTGAGATATGATACGAACACCATGATATCGATAATGTTTAAAAAAACTATAGGACATGTGTGAGATTAGTAAAAAAAATGTATAATATTGGTTGAAGTAAAGAAAAAAAAATTGTTTTGAGCCTATTCTTTAGTGGAACAAGACTATATCAATAAGCAAAGAGGTAGCGCTTGTTGCGATGGTCCCGAGCTTTCGATGCAGAGGAGGAAGTGTTAAACTGCAAGGTTGTCACTTCAATATTCAAGTCCGTATGAGAGTGAAAAGTCATGTGAGAATGAGAGAATTTAAATGTCTCATAAATGACATATTTTCCTTGTGAAATATGAGAAGTGGTTGGCAATTGAAAGTGTGAGGTGATATGTGGATCGCGATCAGCTGCCAGCTGTCAGATTGATCTGAATGGTCAACAAGGTTCTCTCACATGGAATTGCATGCTTAGTGAAAGAAAAAGAGTCTACCTATTTTGCACTTTATTCTTTTTTGCTTCCCTATTGGGACTTTATCCTTGGACCTTGTGTAAGGCTCAAAATAGTTGTCTCTAAGCCTTTCTTTTTGGTTTATAGGACGAGAGTTTGTGACACGTGCTCTTTACTCAGCCATGGAATCAGGTTATGTGGAAGTCTTTGTTGGAACGTCTCTACCCTAGGGAATAGGTGCATTAAATATCTTTCTTGTACGAGGTATCGTTTCACTAGGGGCGACTGACACATCTCTATGCACTAGTTGGTGATGATATTTCCTCTTCTTTAGATCACTTAAGTACTTTCAAAATATTTTTTAAGAGATCTCAGTCGTTGGCGGTGCATAGTGGATCCTATGATTCTTATAGGATAATAGGGTATATAAGGTTTCTAAAGCGTCTTTTTGACATTTTCTTCTACTAGCAACCTGTAATAGTTTTTTCTGCTTCTTTTGCCATTTTTCTTTGCAAGTTTTCTCGTTCTAGAATTTGGTCAAGTTCATATGACATGGTTCGTTAGAACTAGTCTTGCATGCGTGCTTGATCGATTTATTTTTTAAGATAGCATTTAAAATTCCATTTTCTTGAATTTCCTTTCCTTTAACGCGTCCTTTGTTGTTCGTGCAGATGCGTTGAAGACTGAAAAACGATGCAACAAATGTCGTGAGACCTTCAAGTTTCCTCTCTTCTGGCTGGTATTTCGAGTACACCCTTCACTATGGTAGCTTGTACCTCGGGTACACCAGTTGGTACACCCTCTAGTTCGGTTGCTGCTCCAGTTGTTCTAATAACTCTTCCCCATACTTAGATGGAAGTCTGTGTCTCTCTTGACTGAACTTTGGGGGATGATATCCTACCCCAATTGTGGTTTAAGTATGAGGAAGGACTAGATTTTGTGAGTACAACTTCAACATATAGTGTTTTGCATGATGTCAAAATCGGGAAAGATGACACGACATTAATAATAATTGGATCTTTTTATCTTGTGGCACTCCTCTGCATCATAGGTGTTGTACCCCAATTTTTGCCCCTAAGATACCTATATCATTTCATACCATTAATACACAAGATCATACATTAGGGTTTGAATGCTTCTTCTACGGTATCTTATCTTTAAGTTTTCTCTTGAGAGATCCCCAAGCACCTTGAAACGTGTGTCTTGTATATGTGTGTTTTATATTCTACTGACCTCCAACCAAAATCCAAAAACATGTTTTGTTTATTTTGTTTCTTGTAAGACATGGTTTACGATCAAGAAATTCAGGTGATGACTCTCAGATTAGGGTTATAGTTTGTTCAGGCCAAAAATAGTTCCCAAAGGCTTCTGTTTCAAGAGTGGTGATCTATAATATTAGGTCACGCTACCTTGAAGTTTCAGTCATCTTGGTTAAAGCGAGTTTTTGGTTTCTTAATTCTCAAAACTCTTCGAGATCGGTTCATGCGTTTATTTCCATGCTTTCTTTGATGGGTAATGTAAGTGTTTGTTGGAAGAAATTTTGATAAAACAATGACTTTATAATGTTTTTCTAAATGTATTAACATTTGAAGCAAACTGTTTTGAATGATGTCAAAGCAGATTCCTTGACATCTACCTCCTGAACTGAACTCAGCCCAATATCAGTTCATGTTTTCTGTTTCCTGTTTTCATGCGCGCCATAATTCAGGATTTGTGACTCATAGGCTGCGAAAAATATGGAGGAATATTTTTCTAATTGAATTATCTTTATGGATTATATCTTGGCATGGTTTCATGGAAATATTCAAAATATTTAAATATTTGTTTTTCAGCCCAAGCCCACTGTTACGCATATATATGGACCTGCTTCCTTATTCAGAAAACAACAACTTTTGAAGAAGAATACTTTCTTTCTGTTTTAGAAGTCTTAGTCTTTTAATTGTCAAACACTCTAGTATTGATTTAATACTTGTGTTGTTATTTGGGATATTAATTATGTATCATTCATAAGCTTTTAAGCATTGAATGATTGAAGTCTTTAAAACATATTAATTATGTTTTTTCTTAACTGTAAGTGATTGAAGGGATTTGAGGAGGGCCTCATACCTAGGAGTGTCTTAGGTAGAAGTATAGCACGGGTAGTGATTAAATGATTAAATCATAAACTAGTTGTTTACTAAGGGTATATGAATTGATACTATTTAGTGGACTTGTCCCTGGCTTGGTAGCCCCCAGAGTAGGTGTTGTTGTACACTAAACTGGGTTAATAATTCCCTGTGTTTTTACTGCTTTTAGTTTTACTGCACTTTACTTTTTCCTCATATATTTGTTTCGTGACATCTCCTTCAACATCACATATCTGATACCAGAGTTTTAGGTAATCTCGAATTTTGATAAGTGTGAACATGGTTTAAACAAGATTTCACCACCTCTAGTTCATATGTGATTAAAAAGGCCTCGGGTTGTGGAAAACGATCAAGTTCGTGAGTTGATTCAAAGTTGTTGGAATGAAAGTCAACGTTTATAAGTTCGAGTTCAAATGAAAATAAATTCTTTACTATTCATTATTTTTGGTCGATTCTTCAAGCATATGAATCTCCTTGACATTATCTCCAATTTCTCTTTGCAAGTAGAGAGTTAATTATGTGCAGAAGGCCATCAAAAGTTCGAGTGCATTAGAGGTCGTTTCGTGACCTTGACCTATTTTTAAGTGACTTTTGTCCAACTTCCGAGGATCACAATTCTTTCAATTTTCATCATTTTGGAACGATTCTTTTTGCACGATACTCTTCAAGGTGTTATCTACAAGTTTTCTTCAAAGAGCAAGAATGATTGGGCTTAGAAAGCCATGAGATTTAATGAAATATTACGAGTCCTTTTTCGGGCTTATAATGTTATTAATCTCTAATTCTTCATATAACTTTCTTGTGATCGCTCAAATTAAGAGCCGTGTTTATTTGTCAAGATATCCATTTTTAAGGCCATTTTTGTCAAAATTTGAAGACTCGTGTTCCTTGAAATTTAAGGTGTTCATCAAAGATTTCAAGCACTTTTAATCAAAGCTTCAAGATCTCAAGACTTCTCATTATTTAAATCTTCTTCAATGACATTCAAGATTTAATTTTTTTAATTCCAAATATCTTAAGTGCATCAAGAATAATTTATTGGAATTTCAAGCTTCCAACTCAAGTTAGATTCATACAAAAATTCAAGAAGGATTCAAAGAGATTTTTTAGATCATTCAAGTTCAATTTTTTTAATACTATTTGATTCAAGTGCAAAATTGGAGAATTCATGATTCTAAAGAAAATTAACTAAGATATTCATCAAGATCTCAAGCATTTTTCATTCATCATTCTCAAATATATTCAACTTCTCCCATGATTCATTCAAATTCCATGAACCAAAATTCAAGTTGCAATTACGTGTTACAAGTTTGAATCCAATATTTCAAAGATAAGAGTGTTGTACCCTAAAATTTTCCCTCTCATTTATCAAGATTTTCCTCACAAGACTTCTTGGACTCAAGACAGGATTAGGGTTTGGTCAGCTCAAGACATCACCTTGCACTGATAACCTGAAATTAGGGTTTGAGTTTGCACAAGGATTTTTGGACCATCAATGCTTCATGTGACTTTCATACACCA